TTAGATCTATGTTAGCAAAGGTTTGATTTTGGAAATGCATTTCTTTCAATTTTTTTGATACTATCAAGGAATTCAGACCACCCACGAATTGTGGATTTGGGTAGGAGAGGATAGGGTATGAACTATGAAGGAAGCAGGCTTTTCAACCTAATTTTTAAGTAATTCCTCCTCAATTTTTTATGTTTACTGGAAGTTTTGTTTAATTGGTATGATGTTTCATGCGAATGAATACATGATGTATCTTGGGTAACTAGAGGTTTAAGAAATTGATTGATTTGTTTAAGTTTTGCTTTCCTACTTAAACTGATTGGAATTGCTGTGGTATTCCTTACAGGGTGGAATTGTCTTAGGACCATCTGTGCTAGGGCGGTTCCCAAGATTCATGGAAACATTTTATCCCAATAAAGTTATTCTGCTGCTCAATACGGTGTCCACATTTTCTATACTTTACTATGTCTTCTTTCTTGCTGTGAAAATGGACTTAGCTAAGATCTTAAGAACAGCAAAGGATGCTTGGAGTATTGGTCCATGCTCCTTCTTCTTTTCATTTTTCTTCATTTTGTGCGTCTATTTCCTTCTACAAGATTTCCTCCCTGTGCTTGGTGATCGAGCTGCTCCTATCATAACATTTGCCATCATGTCAGCAAACAGTTTATCAGATATGATCAATGCCATGAATGAACTCAAATTTTTAAACTCAGAGTTAGGTGAACTTGCTATGTCTTCTGCAGCATTCAATGAGATGATCATGTGGATTATTTTGGTGGTGACAAGTGACGGGAAACAAGAAGGTTCATTTCACTCATTTCATTCTTTGGTCTTCTTTGGTGCCTTTGGACTTATTGTATTTTGTCTAGTGCGGCCAGCTTTACTATGGGTAATCAAGAAAACACCAGAGGGAAAACCAGTAGATGAAGGTGTTATTGTTGCACTTCTACTTGGGAGTGCAGTTGTGGGACTCATCACTGACTCACAAGGCATGGGCTTCCTTCCAGGGATTCTACTTATGGGGCTAATTATACCAAGTGGACCCCCTTTAGGTGCAACATTAATCGGGAAATCAGAGCTCTTGGTCCAAGAGATTTTTCTTCATTTTGTCTTTCTTTCTGTTGGTCGTGTCACTGATGTGTCTCAAATACATAATTGGAAGGAATTTGCTGCAATGCTGTTGATCATTCTAGCAACATCTTTTGGGAAGTTTTTGGCTGTTTTTATGGGTTTATTTCACTTTAAGATGAGATCTAGAAATATTCTCCTTCTTGGCCTAATGTTGAATATGAAGGGCCCAATCGAGCTTATTTTTTTAACTAAACAGATGGGAACTAAGGTGAGCTACTTTCTTGTTCATTTCATTCCTGAATCATGTTAAATTCAGAAAGCTATATGTACTAGCACCCTTAATTATGGGCTGATGTTGATCTAATTTTTTGGTGCAGTACATTGACCCCCAGTTTTATGTCATGCTAGTATTTTCCAGCTTGGTTATGACTGGAATTGGAGCCCATTTATTACTGAGCTTATACAAGCCTCATGTGAGACTTGAAGTTTATCACTCTCTTAAACTGAGCATGAGATTGCTTCTAGTAACCCCAAATGGTGGTGAATTCCGAATTCTTTCCTGTATTCACAATGAGGATGATGTCCATGGAATTATTTCTCTTCTTGAAGCGGTTAACCCTACTGAAGGGAGCCCGCTATGTGCCTATGTTATTCACATTGTCGAGCTTGTTGGTCGAGTAGCACCACCTCTAGCTCCTTACAAATATCAAAGAAAGTTCAAGCACAATAGCACAGACAGGATTATGCGTGCCTTCACAAATTATTCCAACGACTCCCCCAAATCAATCACAGTGTTGCCCTTCTCATTGGCTGCCCCATACAGTTCTATGCATGAAAGCATCTGCCGGCTGGCTCACAGTGAATTCATTCCTCTCATATTAGTCCCCTATTACAAAAGCCAAGTTCTAGGTACCACTGGAAGCATTCACAGTTTTAACAACAACTTGCTAGCATGTGCACCGTGCACCGTTGGGATCTTGGTACAAAGGAAGAACTTCTCACACCGCCTTGGTTGCAGTGTGAGCTTCTCCCACTTCTCTTATGATATTGCTGTGATATTCTTAGGAGGTGATGATGACCGTGAGGCCTTGACATTAGCAGATCGTATGTCAGGTCATCCTTGCGTGAGCATTACTGTATTAAGGATCATTTATGCAGAAAATGGAGAGAAAAATGAACCAAAGTTGCAACAAGATGATAAGTTTTTCAAAGAGTTTAAGGAGAAGCATGCAGGTAATGCTTGCGTGGTAACTAATGAAATCGTTGCAGAGAATAGTGTTGAAGTAATCAACGCATTCAATTCTTTGGATGGTTGTTATGACCTTCTTCTCGTGGGAAGGAAGCCAGAGGTAAGTGAGAAATTAGAAGAGGAATTGGGGAATTGGACTGAGTGTCCAGAGCTTGGTGTCATCGGTGATGTGGTTGCTTCACCGGATTTTAGGGGAGATGTTGTTTCCGTGCTTGTCTTGCATCATGCAGCACCTGGAGGTGGTGGAAATGTATCAGTTTATAATGGATCCATGTCTGCTGTAACACTTGGCGCACAAGGTTCTTATTCATTCCAAAACACTACATCTACTGCATAGCTCAACGATAAATCAAGGATAGTTATGGTTTATAAGCAAGGGTTAGCACTTTAGGAAACTAAACTGTGTGCCCTATGGGAGGCCCAAAGTAGACAATACACAATACCGCATGGCGTGGACGCAGCCCAATCCTTGGTGTTAGCACTGGTAAGGGATAGTACTTTTTTCCATGTATCTATAAAAAATAAAATAAAATTCAGTTAAATCCTTTTTTGGGAAATTAGTATGTGCAAATTTCTTTGTCAATTGAAAAGCGGAAGTGGTTATAGCTGTGGAGCTACATCGTCTGTTTCGATCATAATTAGGTGGTTTATTAAATTTTGTTGTTGTATCAACGTTGACTTTTTTAGGAACAAAAGCAATGGAATCAATTATGTTTTACCAGTCTTAAGTCTCTTTTTTTTTTTTAAGTCTTCAAAAGTCGTATAATTTTATTTATTTATTTATGCTTGGTGTAGTTTTTACGCACCTTTAACCTAATTTCTCCTTAAATTATTTTAATATTTTACTCTCAAATTGACTTTGATGCATTTCACAAAATTAATTTTCCTTTTTAAGTTTTGGTCTTAATGCTGGATCCTGCACCTGGAACTACATTTGCTTAAAGAGTCCTCTGTTTTTATTTCCTTTTTAAATTCCCCTGTTTTTCTCATTATCAACCATTCTACTTCTAAAATGAGAAAGTATAGAATTCAAAAAAACTTTCACTCTTTAACATTAAGAAAAAGAAATATTACATATCTAGAATCAAGAAACACTGCAGGTTTAAAGCTAAATCCGTGCTTAGTCTCGAATCTAGCCATTACAATACTATTTTCTTCAAATTAAGCCGCTTCAAAAGAACAAAGAAACAGAGCAAGAACTACTCCCTAAATGCAGGGAAGAAACATAATCCAACGCTTATACCATGAAATATGAAGCTAAAATGGAATGGAAAATAAATGAATAACCCTTAAGCTGGATGATGGGTACTCCTGATTTCTGAGGATGATCCTAACACACTGGCAAATCCGGTGGTGGTTCTTCAATGGTCTCCATAGTTCCAATTCCGTTCTCCACCAAGAAAGCCGTGGCCAGACCCCAGGAGATATGAACATCCAAGTGACAGTGCATTAACCACACACCTAAATAATGAATTTTCAAGATCAAAATCGATGAATTCGTGAAGAAATTTGGAGATAATAAGAGGTTTCTGGAATTAATTACCTGGGTTATCGGCGACGAATCTAATGACCGACCACCCATTCACGGGCACGGCGGCGGTGTTCCGTAGAGGTGGGTCGACGAGGTTGAACTTAGCAGTGTCTTTTTTGGGATCGAAGTTTCCGAAACCCTCTGCGATGATGTAGAAATCGTATCCATGGAGATGGATTGGGTGGTTTTCAGAGGTGACGATGTTTGTGTCTTGTAAAACAATCTGTACTCTGGAACCGAACTTCAATTTGTAGACCTTGGTACCTGTAACAGGTTGAAACAGAGACCGGCTCACGTTTCCAGTGTAATCGAATTGGACCGGAGGGTTTGCAGGGAAGTCTTTGGTGAAAACTCCGGGAATGCTCTGATGGTGAGCTTGTAACAGAGAGAAGTTGGACGGTAGAACGAAGGAGACATTGTTCATGCTGGAAGTGAAGCGGGTGCCGTTGGGTCCCTGACACCGACTCGAGGGGAAATTTGGCGGGCATTTGTTGAGCCCAAGACCCACCGTGATGAAGAGGTTGTCGTCGATTTGGGTCGGAACCTCAACTTTCCGAGGGCTCCGGAAGCTCTGGGTGAAGGTCATGGCGGTGTTGGTGTCGTTGACAACCGGAATTGGAGGCATAACTGGTTTAATGGACTGGCATTTAGCAGAGCAAGGGGCGGACTTGTATTCCAGAATGGCTGTGGTGGTTGTGTTGTCAAACGGTGCGTTTTGCGCGCTTTGGTAGGGGCTACCGGCGATATAATACCTTGAAGGAGGCTGGTCTCCGGTGATCAGGACATCGGTAGTCTGTCCAGGGCCGAGCATGAGGACGTTGGTGGTGAAGGGCTTGACGTAGGAGGCATCGGCGCCTACCACCGTCAACTTATGGTTGGCAACGGTGAGGAAGAGTTCCTGGTTCAGGGCGGCATTGATGACCCTGATGAGGTTGGTCTCTCCAGAGTCGATTGGAACTACTACAGTGTCTGTACAAAAAAATGGAATGCTTGGTCCCATCAAAAAATGTCCTCATCATAATAGGTAGTTCTTTTATGACATAAATGGGACCAAAGAGGAGCGAAAAAAACAAACCTTGGCTGGAGCAATTGTAAAGATCACCAGGTTGACTGTTGATGGTATAAGCATCGGAATTATTTGGTGCTGCTCCGGTCTGGATGGCCTGCCTTATAACGTCTATCGGGTTTGCATTCCACCATTCACCTGTTTATTATTGACATATAGTTAATATCATTTTTAGTTCTAGAACAATTATTGAAAAAATCATTAGATTCTTTTTTTTTTAAGTACATTAGAAGTTAGTTGCTTTACCAAGAATAAGTGTTGTTTCGCGCTTTGGTGTAGAGAAAGGATAGGAAGATCCTTCTTTTGGGTGGATGATAAGAGCACCATAGACAGTGGCTCTGAGCCAGGAGCTATGAGCATGCCACCACAGTGTGCCTTCTTGGCCTTGAACTGTGAACCTGTAAGTGTAACTATCTCCGGGCCGGATGGGGCATTGGGTCACAAATTCTGGTCCATCTGCCCATCCGGTTCTCATTTGCCGGATTCCATGCCTGTATAAATATATTAACATTATAAAGATTGCATAAGAAATATTTAAATTAAGCTAACATTACATACATGGGTAGGGGAAACATTACCAATGAATGGTAGCATTATATTGGCATTTGTTGATCACTTTAACGACCAAAGTGTCTCCGTTGTTCACTTCCACAGTTGGCCCTGGAAACATCCCATTCACAGTGATAGCATTTTGTGTACTGCACAGCCTCTTCACTGGTGTTGCTTGTAACTGTTTCAAAAAAATCCGTAAGTACCCTAAATGACACAATAATCGAATTCTCAGAAAAGTTAAGGAGGTGAAGAAAAGGAAGTAAACATACAACAAATTCATGGTAATGAGTTTGGGGATCTGCTAATGACACTGAAGATGCCATGAGAAGCATAAAAAGGCTAAGAGCAATAGCCCTCGTAACATTCCTAAGGGCTTCCATGGTGTTTTTTCCTCAACTACTTAGGCTTCTTTGGGTTTGAGGAAGTAATGTGAGTGAGACAGAGAATAAAGGGGCGTTTTTATAGGGAAATTGGAGGGGGAAGAAGAAGGGAAGTGTTGTGTTGAGGTTGGCGGATTAGGTTTTGATTAAGCAAACGATGGTCAGATTCAGCAAACTTAGTTCAACCCTATTGGAGTTGTTGCACCCACTGTCCTTAAGAGATAATCTTTTTCATTTCTTTCTCTTGAATGCTTGCCTCACAAGTCTTTTCGTTGGGTCGATTTTCAGCAAATCATCATCATTATGAAGATTTTGTAGGCATCAATTGCCTTGTTTTTGAAATTCTTTAGTTAAATTGCGTTGATTCAATCATGAAAATTTTAAGTTAAATTGTGTTTATTCTACCATCATTCCACCGGTATGTATTATTAATGTACACACTTTAAGAATTTTAGAACAAGCACACTGGTCCAAGATAATGGTCAAAACTCAAACCCTCTTATTTTCTAGCCAAATCAAGACATTCATGTGAAAACCATTTGACATTT